CTACGCTGTATAAAAAAAAACACAAACAAAAATCTACAATCTAGCATTTGTCACAGCATTTCTCCTTATAATTTTAGAAGCAGCTCAAAAATAGATCCTGTATCATTTGTGTTTTTTCTCTTCCCAATTATAAAATATATCTACGGCAGTTCAGTGTTGTATTGCAAATAAAAAAATTAAATATGCCAATATCTGTAACGTGGGAAGTAAACAAGTATATCTGTTGTTTTTTTCGAGAGCTCTTACCCTTGAAAATGTCGGCAGTAACAAGACGCACTTTAGAGTGGAATCTGTCTTTTCTAACTTAAGTAACAACTCCCCACTAGGAATGCATTATTGAACAGGCCAAAGTTTAAAACTACACTGTGAATGTGGTTATTTAGGGCTTGAACAAACCCAGCAGATCCTGCGATCCCTCACCCCGGCTCTGCCATCAGTCAATGGATACCAAACAAAACTTGTTCTAGCTCATCTGTGCCGCCTGAGTGACTGCAAGTCCTCGAAGAGGATTTGTTAAAACTGTATGAGGGGCATGTTGAGCCGTTTCTCGTTTCTTCCTGTTTAGCTTTATTTTTCTTTGGCACCCATTCTTTAGTGCGATGCTCGTGTTGTTCAAGAGACACAGAGCAGCAAATACCGAATATTGTAAATCTCATAATTACTCCTGCATGAGCGCCTTTCCCTGTGTTTTTGTGATGCCAGCCAGTATTCAAAATTGCACTGCTGCAATTTTTCTGTTATGATAATCAGCATTTTTTATTTTTTTTTTCAAACAAAAGATTTTTTTTATCCAATACGGAATTCGATACAAGTGGTAATCTGCTTTCTTTGTAGCCTCTAAAATCTGGTCCATGCCGGCTCAAACCAGCACAATCTCTTGTGGCCAAACCTTCTGCTGCGACTGAAATCGAAACTATTCCGTATAGCGTTCGTGTGTGAAAAATGTGTGTGCATTTGCTGCTTTGTGTGTGGCGTGGTCTGTGTGTGTGTGTGCCATCGAAGTGTTTGTGTGTGTACTGCATGCAGAGGAAACAGAAAGGAAAAAAATGTGCAATGGCAGCCTACCACATTATTAAAAAAACGAGTTGATAGTGCCAATTCAGTCTCTGTCCGCGCACAGATAACGAATAAATGCCGAACTCTATTAAATCGTCCTTTAGCCATTATCGCAGGGCCAACACGCCATTTTCAGAACTTATGACGGTTCCCTATTTACTTAGCTATAAATCCTTGCCATGTAACCAACAGATTTGTGACTGGTAATGATCTGCTCAGCCAGGGCTATATGAAATGATCCTGACCTCTTTCAGATCGTCAGGAATTAAATTGACCGATTTGCCCCGGCCCCCACCATCTTTTCCCCTCTCCTATCACCATCGTCTCGTTAGATAAAAAACCCTGAAGTTCCGAGTACTCCACTCACAGCAAGACCAAGACGAGTATTATCTCCACAAGTTTAAAAATGAAAATGAGGTAAATACGGCACCTGGGAGAAAAAGGGGAAATGTATATCATCTATTTACTTTGCTTTTGCCCCCAGCATGAACTCTGTGTGTGTGTGTAAAAGACATACAATTATAATTTTCAAGTTTCATACTTATTGCTGTGTTTTCACGTGTAAATAATTTGCAGTACATGTGTTATGGTTGTAGTATTTTGGAATGTATGTCATATTTCAGCAAAACAAACAAGACAAACCCGCAATAAAATAAATGTTACTATAAAAAATGTGTCACTCACTAGAGCTTGGATTTTTTTGTGTAAGCATGACCTAAATTCACAAAGAGAAATATGTTTTAATGTTATATATGATTTATTTATCTTTTGATGTAAAATAGCATTAGTAACTATATAATTTGGGATTTTATTAATATTGATTTAAGTTTCATAAATGACATTATCATGTTGATATAAACTGAAAATCAAGAATAAAGCTGTGGATATTTTTCTGAGCTGCAGATGTCACATTTAACTACCAGTGATGTTCTCTTGAGTGCAGGCATGGATTCAATCATTTGTAATACAATCATATTATAAAATATATAATAGATAAAAAAACATATAAAATAAATTCAATCATTATTGTAGCGTAATAATTAATTTTAAGGTACAACAATATAACAGTGAATTCCAAATTGTATAATAATGTATGAAAGTATTCATTGCACATATACATTATTGTTCAAATAATTTCCTTTAAAATAAAAATTACTTTTTGGATGATTTTTAATGAATAAGGAAATAAGATTTGACATGAAAATGAAAAGATTTGAAAATATGATACTTTATTCCCAGATTTTCCTTTGACAATATTTTGATAGAAGCCATCAGTGTCTCGAACGTGACATTTCTGACAGCAAATCTCCTTCCAACTTCTGCAGAAAATGTCAGAGTCACTTTTGTGTCTCGCTAATTTGCCAGGAATATGCATATCAATTACACATCTTGGCTTGAGATACATATGTTTCTAAGATGTGCAGTTCATGGGTCGTCATTGAAATGGTAATAGGGAAATGTTCAAAAAAAAAATAACAGACAACTTTATTTAGCTTTGCTTAGCTGGGAATCATCTAAATATACTCACATAAAGCACCGTGGGACTAAATGTGCAAATATGCATTGAGTATTTATCTTTGTCTTTTCTTTTCTGAGTGTGCACGTTTCCAAATGCAGAGTGTTTATTTGCATGTGAGAGTGTGTGATGTGAATGTGTGCCTTGAGACACAGTAACCCCTGCAAGTTGACAGCCGATTCTAGAGGCAATATATAATTAGTCAAAAGACGTTTGGTCATAGTTGAGAGTGGCTGCGTATGAATGGCAGCTGTGTAGGTGAGGAATTGTACATCTTAAAAGTTAAAGCGCTGTTTGCTGAATCCGTTGATGTGCCACTGTTTTGATGCAGCTCTACATATATTCAAAACATCTTCAGTTTAAAGGAACACGTGGCATATTTTGGCAAATTAAGATCACATTTCATGATTTTAATTTTCTTCTTCCTCGTTGCCACAGAAAACTCGTAAGTGATGAGAATGAATTTTTTTTCCCAGACATAGCTGACAATGAATGGAATCTGCTAATGTGGTCTTTATCTGTGTTTCTATCCCTCGAATTCAACAGGCTGAGCTGATATTCAAACAAAATGATGCTTACCATGTTTAAACAATAAATCAATTGTGAATGTTGACAGATAATAGATTTAAATGCCTCAGATGTCAAATACGATTAAGGATATTTAATCAAAGGCTACATTTTTTTAAATAAATAATATATAGAGGCTAAATTATAATTCGAAGCACCAAAATATTTCAGTGTTTTATTATGTCACTTGTGAAACTTATGAGAACCTGTGTCCTTATTCTTTTTGAGTATCTGCATTGTGCCGGTTTACCACCCTCTGCGTTTCATGAAAGACGAGAGAACATTTACATTCTGCGTGCATGCGTGTGTGCGCACATTTGTGGAGGACGGAGGATCTATTATAGGCCTACGTCCACACCCGGCTGGAAAACAGCTGTGGGGTAGTTGGAGTGGAGAGGTCGGGGTTTTTGGGATTAAATTTGTACGAGACTGAGCGTTTGTGTTTGGGTGTGTGTGTCTCTGTCACAATCTGGGCTGCCACACTGGTCCCATTCCCTGAGCCCTCTCACTGGCAGTCCAGCTTTGCATTAAACAGTGTTCCTTCCGCATGACTTGGTGACAATACTGTGGTCTCAGCCCTCGATGGCCCCTATGAGGGGCCCACCCCCTCACCCTGGGGGCCAGTCAGCCACCCACACTGGTGTCGGCTGGGGCCCCTGATTAGCACCTCACCTGGTTCTCGGAGGAGCCGGCGTCGTCCCCTAGGAGCTCGTTGCGCACCTCATCACTGTAGGCAATGCGTGACCTTTTCTGCAGAGGGAGGAGGACGAGGAAGGACAAAAAGAAGAAGAGAGAGGAGAAACAGAGGAGAGAAAAAAGAGAAAACAAGTGGGGGAAATATGGTTTAGTACCGTTGTTGATGCAAAAACACAACAGGCATTCCTTAAGCACGAGAGCCCCCTAATGGAACTTGGTGACAAACTGAGTCATACACATGCAGTGTGTGTGTGGGTGTGTGTGCTAGAGCGTCTCTATGTGAATGTATGTGTGTGTGTGTGTGTGTGTGTGTGTGTGTGTGTGTGTGTCTGTGTTTCCTTACAATACAAGCACTGACAACAAGCATGTCTAGGTTTGTGCCCATGCCTTCGTATCTTCTTCCGAGGTGATCTACTGTACCTGATGCACTTGTGCCACAGAAGTGGTGGCAAAAAGGCCCCCCACCCCCCGCCACCCTGCCCACTTAAACAAATACAAGTCGAGGGATGAAAAACCTCATCTCGTGTGCACAGGGAGGCTGTGGAACAGGGGGACAGGGGAGAGGGCCAGGGAGATGTATTATGAGGAAGTATCACTTGTCAGCGCTAAATCTTTTCTGGGGGCTGTCACTGCTGTCATCCCAGTGCAGTGGCAGGCTCTGTGATAACACCAATGCTGAGACTCAGACAGGGAATAATTCATCACCCATTGGCGGCCCATCGGATTTGGGGTTGCCTCTCCTCTCTCTCACACATGTACACACACACACATACACACACATATATATACACACAAACTCTCTCTCACTCTCTCGCTTTCTCTGTCTCCAGATAGGCTCGAATAAGAGGGAATGCCATGTCCAAAAAAAAAAAAAAAAAAAAAAAACAACACCCAAAAAGACAAACACGCAGACACACACTTTTCATACACACTTCAGAGTGTGCCACCTCCGATTGTGGAAGAGTGGGCTGCCACTGTACCGCTTGTTTACAGGCGCCCGACCCATGGAAAAACAGCCTCTTGGCATGCCCTCTAAACTAAATACACACCAGCAGCAGACACAGAAAGTGTTTACTAAGCCTCCTTCGCTTTCTCTCCCTGCCTTGACAGGGTTTCTAGGTGGGCTGCAGGAGGTGGGCAAAAATCAAAGACAAACACCAGCATAGGAATGAAAATATCACATTTTCTCAACACAAAATTGTTTCTATTTTTTCATATTTACTTAGTCCTCAATTCTAAATAAATAAAACAAACACATGGAATCAGTGAAGGAACACCAATTACCTGGTAGGGGACTTTTTTCTCTTAAAATACAGTATCCTTTCCCCCTATCTTTCTATTATCAGTAAAAGTTTGAAGAAGCTATTGCATGAAGTGCTTTAATGCTTCCTTCCAAACCAAACTTGAAAAAGCCAATTCTAACCTCAAGAGCGATGATATCAAGTTCCTTGATTGAAACAACTCTGGAGCCAATCACAACTGAGCCGGTAGATTTTTTTTTTTTATTTGTCTCTCCTCATAATCTGGAGCACTGAGTGGAAAGTCATGGCTGATGTGATTTGGGTGTTATTATCGTGATGGTGAGGGCCACAGTTCTCTGGAGTAATTACTGCCTAGACGGAGGGCCTGATTGACCCAGACCACAAAACCCATTAGATAAAGAGTGCACCCAAACAATACTCAACCACGGGGACCTAAGCTAACCACAGAACGCCTACTGTGTGTAAAAGAGAAAATCCGAAGCACAGACCCAAATAAAACACAACATCGCCCCCCCACAACACACACATCACACATCACACAAAAGCACTGTGTCAAAATGTTCAAGATGTTTTTACAAGTGTTGTGTTAGTGTCATTCAACACTGGACTCAATTAGTTGAGTTTTGTGATTCTGATTTGATATTTTGAATCTCACATTTTAAACAATTCAGCTTCATCAACAGTCTCTAGTTTAAATAAATAACACAGACATAAATGTATGTAATATATAATTTCATCGTTTTCTGTGTTCTGACATCTTTAAATTAAGTGTCAGAAGTATATTATAAATAATTTAAAAAATAACCACATTAATTCATTCTATTGTTTTAATGTTTAAATTCTAATGTCAGCATTTCTTTAAAGCCCCATCCTCCGCACATGGGTAAATCAGTGGTCACTGTGCTGCTGACAGAACATTAAAAGGAATTTCATATTTGAGTAAAACCAGATAGACAATAAGCATCAGTCTGAAGACAACATGTACACAAGCACGAGGCGCACACACATTTTCTTTTCTTTTTTTGCCAAGAGAACACCCACATATTTCATTTAAGTCAAGTTGCATCTTAAAGAGCTGCAATGCAACTTAGGGGGGAAAACGACTTCAGCAGTAATTGAAACGAGGAAGCCTGGGAGAAGCACTGATTCGAATGTTAAGGCTTACGTCGCCTTCAAACCCTACGCAGGGTTTTTTTGGTTTTCTAAATAGCTGTTTGTTACAGATGAATGTATGAAGCGTATCTGCAATGAGAACAGAGTAGATAACAAAGAACGCATAAAGAACGGAAAATGTCACAGAAATGAAAGTGTTGCCGCTTCTTCCCCCGTACAGTATACACTCCAGTTTTTGGATTTCCCCTCTGGAAAACAACTGATTCCTGAATGATTACTGCCTTCCCACTTGATATAAAGCATAAACATCTGTGACTACCTTCAGTACTGACTGCGTAATACAGTGACAGGTTTTGATTGTAAGTTAGGATGTTAAGGAAAATATGGTTCAGTGCCAACAGGATCATTCTTGAGGTCAGGAATGCAGATGTCAGATATTCCACAGACAAATTTTATATCAAGAAAATGCCCTGAATCTGCTTCATTTCTTACAATATGTGGACACTGAGCTCCGCATCTTAACAGGAAACCAGCTAATCAGGCTTTGTAATATTAAAAAAAGAATGAGCGCTTTTAGAAGATACCTTATTTCTCAGAAGAGAAAAAAAGAGGGTTTTTTTAATCCCTTTTGAAAGGTCTGTCTTTTGTCACTTTTTTAATCTTGGGTGAGAATTTGCTTCTATTCCCGGAAGCACGCATGAGAAGTACAAAGGTACATCTTAACTTTATGCAAAGTGGCCTGCCTTTAAAACTCACGAGCATGCCGTCAAACGCGGCGATGGAGGTGCTGGTGTCCTGTCAAAAACACACGTTTTACCTCTGTTGACATGGACAGCAGACAGAAAAAACAATTCTTCTTTACCCATCAAAATGTAATTACATATGCATGCATAGCAATTCATATCAGATATGCTAATCAGTTTGGCACAATCCTCTGATCAGAAAATTATATTTATTTAATTATAGCAGATATATGGATATTTCCTTTTGTATGCAATTTCTCTCTGGAATGGCCATGTAAGGGTATATACTGTCTAAATTAACATGATTCATTTTTTAAGTTTGTCCATATGTCCAGAATAAAAGAAAATACATCTTAGAGGCATCAACTTACAGAAAATGAGTTTAAAACACTTACATTTCCTATAATTTCGAAAATATGTCTTTTTTAATATAAAGGAAAAGTTCCCTGTTTGCAAAAGAAAATGTTAAAAATCTGATAAAATGGAATCCATATTGCTCTCCTCCTTTCTTTTTGCCTGGTGCAACGAGTGACACAAGGACAAAAGCAAATAATTGTGGCGCCTGGAAAGCCTAGAAATGTAAACAGTTCATTAGATGGAAAATAAAAGGCAGAAAAATACCCAGGGGCAGAGTGTAATGAGGGGCCCTGAAGTTCCTCTGCAGACACATTTTCCCTCCACTTTCCCAAGCTTTTCCCTCTCGCCCTGCATACTCGGCTGGTGGCATAGCATGAAGAGTAATTAACTATATTCAATTTACAACTCAACATTCCATTACAGGCTTTTTCACAGGTAGGAGAGCAACTGGGCACATCCAGAGTTGGACTTAATAACTCTTATGTCAAGCTCCATGTGCTTGCCTGAAACAACCTTTTTTTATTTTATTTCTGTTTAAAACTGTCCGCAGCCTTGTAAAAACTGAGAAATACCAAAGCCTACAGCTGTGAAATGACAATAAAGTAGGTTAATAAAATGTCTCAGAGTTCACAAGAATGTGAGCTAAACTCAAAGGTTATCTATATCACTTCCTTTCCTCCACCCGCTGCGATATTTTCCCAGGTGATGCGTGGACCAGTGCCAGCAGGTCCCACTCTGGATCCCCGAGTGGGGGCAGTGGTGGACTGATGCGGCATGGCGTTAAAGGGAAGCTGAGACCTTTAAGCAGGCACAAGTATCACAACAGCATCTTAAATAATGCATCCGCGCTTAGCAGGGGTCTAACGTGCACACGAGCGCACGCACGAAGCTGACACAAAGGAAAACACACAAACTGTTGTCTGGCTTCTTCTTCTCTTTAACACAAACAAATGAGAAGAGGTTGTTCAATTAAGTAAGTGCCCTTTTTTTTTTAAATGCATTTGATATATTATCAGACAAAGGAAAGCAGCTACAATTGGGATTGTCACAGGAGGGTGTCATTTGTGCCTTTGTTTCACTCTGGTCTTTGGTGCATTTGAATCCTCCGCTTCTGTCTGTTGTGTGTGTGTTTGTGTGAGAGCACACGCGTGCACAAGGGTTACAGTATGTACGGTGGAGGCTTCTACGAGCCTTTGCATCCCGGGGAAGCCTCCTTTAGAGAACGTACGAGCGCGACATATGTGAACGGTAGCCTGGTGTGTGTTCATTCCCCTAATAAAAGTGCAGCCGTGGTAGAGAAGCTGGAGCCTCAGATAACAGCATGGGGCCTCTCATTAGCTCACAGGTTGGTGCTTTGGTGGCTTCTACGCAAACATCATTGTGTTCCGCTTCCATGGAAAAACCTGAAGCAGACTCTGAGTTGTCAAAAAGCACAAATAAAAAGGTAAATGATCAACCACGGTGAGGTAATAAATAAGTCCAAACAGGTATGAGGTGAGGAGACTTTTTTAGGGTGACGGTGAATCAAAAAAACATGATCAGGGACCAGTGTGGAATAAAAAACTTCTTAATTCAATAG